GCGGCGAGGCAAGACGGGCTAGCTTACGTCATTCGTGAGCTGTTGCCAATGCCTGGGAATTCTGGGGCTGTGTTTTGTACTTCGGTGGAAAGCATGATTCCCCTTCCAACGTCCGGGAGGTTGTATACGAGACCAGCGAGAAGTACGATACGTATTATAGCAACGTCTATGGGATAATGCCGGGAATGTGCCACCTTTCGCGACGGAATATTGCTCAAAGCCTCATCACGAAAAGAAATACTGACATTAAAAATAATAGTTTGAAGCAACTGCGCTCATTCACTCAAGACATCACCTGCGTGACCTGCCCGTGCTTTCCGAAACAATGCACCTGCTTCAAGCACAGCGGGGCTGAGGCGGACGACGCGAAGCGTTTAAAACTACGTCCTGGGCCCATTTGCACTCAGGTGACAACAGATTGCGCAATGGAGCCAAGCGGCAGCAGGCCATCAACGAACTCTTCCTTGGTAGATAATGGATTGCGCACGACAATTCTTCTTCGGGTGAAGCTTCTGCCACCATCAGCACCACTACCACCACGACTACCAGACCTCCTCCTCCTTCTACTTCTACTACTACTACTTCTACTACTACTACTAATAATAATAATGATGATGCTACGACGACGGCTACTACTACCACCACTACCACTACCACCTGCTGCTTCTGTCATTCATGGCTGGTGCGCTTTCCCAGTCCTAGTTGTCATTGCGACCAGCAGTATTGTCCTCTGACCGCTGCTACTAGCATTTCCAGCACTGCGGTTAGTTCTTGCCATGCTTATCTAACTACCAAAATTGCCTCTCATTTAAAACAGTCGCACTGCTGCTAGTAGTTCATGACAGACGCCATTTCCATTGTCATACCCATAGTGTTCTTATCACCCATACAAGGCACGACACCGGGGCATCTTCACAGTTGCTAATTTTGCTGCCGTTGCGAGTTTTGCACAATATACTGGTGTCGCGATGATGTCGACTGTGACTACACTCACAATTATTGCCATAGCTCTGAACTCTATTCTTACTTTCAATACCTGCATTGATCTCCAAATTCTCGAACAAGTTCTCCTCACAGTCTAGTGGAGTTTCGGATCCGGCTTTCAGCGTTTGCAAGCCAGTGAAGAAGGCAGTCCATGCTGAGAACATCGGAATAGTTAAGGGACCTTCATATTGTTCATTTCGGCTTTGGGTTTCTTCATGGTGACTTGAACGCTTACAGACTGGAGGCATGTGGTGCACAGGCAAGTCACTCTTGTTAGCTCCCCTCCACCGTCCACGTCCAGCATCTCGAACACCTGCTCGGTTGCATTTTTGACGTAGGTCGTATCATCGCCAGAAGCCCTGAGCCCCAAAACACTCTCGTGTGTTAAGTCGCAACCTCTCACCAACTTTCAAACCTGGAAAAATCAGGGACCGGGACTCTTAGCTTGGACTCTTGCTGAATTGAAACATAGACTCTGCAGCTCAGCGTTGTTTCAAATTTAGAGATTCGGAAACGATTAAAGATTGGGTGAAGAACAGCCGAAGTTGCGATCAGTTCCACAACGTGAACCCTGCATGAGAAGAACTAGATGCAAGATTGGAACACTCTTCAAGCACCCAAATGCAGAGGCCTGGAGAGGGAGACGCAACACAGATCTTTAAAAGGCCTCGCTAGGTCACCCCCTCGTACTGCTGGATCCGGCCTCCTGCATTGAAGACACTCGGGCCTTGCTGCGCAGCTCTGCAGGAATGACATCCACCTTTGGTGGAAAGGCTGGGAGGTGGGAATTTAGTTGGACATGCAGCTCTTGCCCTCTGGCGCTGCCTCCGATCCGCCTCTCCTGCACCTGCACCCTTCACACACATCGTGCCAGAACACAGGTACCATGGCCATCTCTTCCATGGTCAACGTGCCGGAGCCGTCCTGCCACAGCCCATGCATTTCACAGGTTACAAGCCAACAACCTGCGCATGGTCTGTCCACCTCATGGGACCCGAGTCCTTGTCGATATCCTTGAAGATCTGCAGAAGCCTTGTCAAAACTTAATGGTAATTCAGTGCCCCACGCCGTGCGATCCCGAAGTTTGGTATGCAAATGCTAGAAGCTCATAGAAGCTCAATCTCGGGACACTAAGTGCAAATCGATTGTTGTGATCACAAAAACCTGAAATGCTCGTCAACGCGAATGTTGGCTGGCTGTCGTAGCTGATGCAAGCACTGCTGCCAGAACGGTCACGAAGACGCTTCCAACAGTTAGCAACTCTGCATGTACATCTACACACACTGGAGATGGATACACGGTTGCTACGAAAAGTTCGCACCACGCCCCAATGAAATTGGTACTTCCATGCTGTTGCAAGAGTATGCACTTGTCAAGTCTTGCAAGTTGGATCACACAACGGAACTGGCGCTGGTCCTGAAAAACTTAGCACCCGAGGGAACAACAACAACAACAACGACCACCACAACCACAACCACTACCACTACCCAATCCGCTACCGCCACCGCTACCGCTGCCGCTACCACTACCACTACCACTACCTACTACTACTACTACTACTACCACTGCTAACTACTACTACTACTACTACTACTACTCCTGCCACTGCGACTGCTACTGCCACTGCCACTGCCACCGGTACCAGTACCAGTACCTCGCTACCTCCACTGTGACTAACACCACCGCCACTGCCACTGCCCTGCCACTTCTGCTACACTGCGACCATAAAGTTAACTGGTTCAACGGTCTTTTCCTCATGTCGCGGGTACAGACTCTCAGGCGGCATGGGAGGTGGTGGCGGCATGAACAAGCCGGGGCCCTCACAGCAAGAGAAGCTCCAAGGGCAACCCGCTCCGATCTAGAATCGCTTGGGGTTTGTGGCAATTGACGAAGTAGGGTTCCAAGTGCATGGAGGGCTTCCGAGAAGCAGGTGACCGGTGGGTTAAGCCACTCAGTCCGATCCCAGACGAAGCTGACTTGCCAAGTAGACGATTCTGGTGGAGATCAGGCTTCTGGAAAGCTTGGGTTTAGGATTGGATGTGGCTCTGTTTGGGCGTCGAAACCCTAATCCAAAAGTACCCGCAGCTGAAAGAAGCCGAGACCTCGGACGTCGTAAGTCGGCTGTGTAATGAAGGGTCTGCGTATCTTGTGAAGGACGCTGCACTTCCGTAGCCCGTCATCAGTATCCATGTCAACTGCACTGCACGGGCTTTCGACGACTTTGCAGTACTCCGGGAATCGATGCAGCAACGACCGGCGGACTGCCGAGGTCGATGATGAAGCAGCCTGGAGCTGAGATGCTCGTTGCTTCAAGACTAATAGGGGGTTTATAGAGGGTTAAGAGGTTTATAGGGAGTTTGGATTTGGTTGCGTCGCCAGTACGGAGGGGGCTGAACATTTGAGGAGTTGGGTGTTGGGTCTTGAAGCGATGTTTCGCTGGACTCGAGCGAGTTGTGCCAAGTAGTCGAATGCGGAAGTTGGGGACCGTTTTCGTCTGCCGCTGTCCTCTTTACTCCGGCGATTGCTACTTTTTGCTGCTGCGTTTGCAGTTCTGGTTTGGGAACAAGTAAGGGTGGTTTGGCCGCCCCTGTTGCTGTTTGACGGCTTCTGCTACAGCTGGTCCTATTCTCGCCGCTACAGCTGTTGCCTGCCACCTCCACTTGTGCGGCGAGGATGGGCATGGACCCCAGCATGATGATGGGCGGAAAGACGAGTCGCACCCTAAGCTTTCCAGAGAAAACCCAAGGCTGCGGAGTTGCCCCTCAGCGAGCAAATTGAGGAGAACGCGTCCTTGGCGCCAGGGTTACCCCTGCTCTACTTGCGTTTCCGACGTACCCCCCATCAGCATACATGTCCCTCTTGTTGATGACTGAAGGCATTCCACACGCGCAAACACAGTGAGGGGTTTGTCCTTGGGTCAGATTTGCCAACGAGCCATTACCTCCCAAGTCCTAAGCCTTGCACCCCCAGACCACCTATGAGACCTATGGCAGGCTCAAGCCGATCTTCTGCCGTTTCGCCATGCAAGCTTGAAGGTGAAAACCCAAAGCTGGAACCCCACCGACATCCAGAGCCCAATACCCTGCTTTGTAATCGAGCATGATATATTTAGGAGGAACAGGCTCTTCTTGCACCATCCCCGCCACTCCGAGCGCGCTCTGCACGAACACCGGTGCTGGAATAGTTAGGAACAAGTAAATAAGTACTCAGCCGCACGGTTCCCGAATTATGCAGTTAGACGCCAACATACACCAAAGTTCTATTCCCTGCCTAAGGTGGCATGCCGAGAGCCCAGATGCCTGGGGGTTTCGGGATTAGTTTGTTCGGTTAGGGTCTAAGGTTGAGGGCGTTGGATGTGGGGTGGGATTCAGTGTGCATGGAACCTGTATCATGTCTAAGTCTCCAGGACCTTCGGGTGCCTCTGCAAAAGCGCCACAAGCCACATGCTTTTTGTGTCGTGGTCCTCAAGCCCGACAGTATGCTCGATTGAGATCACACATAAT